TTACGGTAAATAATAATTTTTCACGTACAAAGTATATAGAGACATTATTTTAGTGTCATATGATCAGTTTTCCACTGTGTTTTACCCTTCATACCCTGCCCACTGTAGGAGATCTATGATCTTAGAACAAATAAAACAATTAAAACTTATAATATAAATAAAAAGTTGTCGTATCGTTTTTATTACTTACTATCATATAAAGAACATCTGTGGAAAAAAATAACTAAATCGAACAACTTCTGTTAGCCATCTGCTGCAGTATTACCATTCATTTAACCGAGATCAATAATTATCACTCAAGTCACACGAACATTCATCAAATATCTAAGAACAACATCACTCGCAATATTATCGCTTAACACACTGATGATGTAATTGATATTGTCGATATTTTTAGCAAACAATTCTTAAATACGTTCGGGAAAAGTTTGTTTACATCACAGCATAACACTTTAAATTTTCTCATCTGTCCACACCATAGCTTTTCTCTTAGATGTTTGTAACGCCATTATTCCAGCCATGTGTTATAAAATAGATGAGGGAATCAGTTCATGGGAGTAGGTTATGTGGGAGACAGTTCACGATATCGTCTGCTCGACTCTGGCTAGTGTGACTAATGGAGGGTCAACACCCAGGAACGTTGGTTGTCCTAAATTCTTCAACTTTTTACTTATTTTATTATTTCAAGTTTGTGTTGCGTTGTAGTAGATGATTAAATAATATTAATAAAATAAATATAAATAAATGAATAAAATAAATCTATCAGATGTCGTTTATGTGTGGTAATAAATATTTAATATCTTTTGGAAAATTGTGGAAACAAATTGAATGTGTTTAGAAAGTCATAATTTAACAGTTCATAAAATATATTTTTGACGATCTACTGAAACACATATGATTAGATTTATACATATAATATTAATTTTAATACAAAACCAATACTGATATTAATATTGTCACAGCCATAGGAAACTTTCGTGCTTATATGACGTACCGTAATATGACAAAGACAATGGTAGTATGTCGACTTGACTCACTTGTTAAACCAGAAGTAAAGATAGATTGCGAAGGAATTACTTTAGGCGTATGTATGTGTGTTGTTAAGTCTACACATATGACATTACTACACGAATGGGATTTGATCATTTGGCCTCCTTATACCCTACAAACACACCTTAAAGGGGGTTGGATTACTTCATTGGCAACTGAGTGTCCAATGCCACATCGCCGTTAATTTTGTATTGTTTTCAGTTTGGGTTACATGTGTGTGTGTGTGCTTTGGAACATAAGGTAAACGCTGGCAGGTCGCGACAGCCTTGGTGGTCTGTTGATCCCTGTAATTAGACCACAAGTGACGTTCTGACCCTGACTTTGATCAATGTGCAGGATATAATGTTGTTAGAGGTGCTGTTGAGCTTTTGTGTTTTATTCTGTATTGAGGAAACAAACACGGTGGTAAGAACAATACTACTACTACTACTACTACTACTATGGCTACTTTTTTTTTTTTTTTACAAATTGGCCTCCATCCTCCCCCAATAGCCACACCTTCGCCGCCATTTTATTACCTTAAAATTAAATATCCTAATACATAAGTAGCTATCATAGCTGTGTTGAGTTAGTTTAGCCGCAGATCTATGCGGCATTCAGTGACTTTTGCCTCATAGTCAATATCTGCAACTGTTGTCGGCTTTGGGGCCGATGCTCTCGTTCCCCTGAGGCAGAGCAAAGCAGACCTAAGGACAGTCGACATCTCATCCAAGCTGTAACATAACTTCTGGGCTGCTGCTTCTGTTCGGATAGCACCTCCGCGAGTCTGGCATAGAAGCATCTTGCACTTGGTCCCATCCCACCAGAGGTTGTGAACACTAGAGGAGTGAAGCTGCCTTCATCAACGTTCTGAATTCTCTCCCCTATGCCCTTATCTTGTCGTTCTCGTTCCTCCTGTGTGCAGCATCGAGAGCTAAGTTACGGTGACATGCGGCCATGGGATAAAAAATCCTGATGTCGAAGAAGGCTCGCTGTCCCCGCGTCCAGAATCCTCGAGCACTGACGTCAACACGGGCTTCGTTGGATGTGTTTGAAGTCCTATGTTGCAAATTCTGACCCTCCAATGGAAGGGGAGTCGGTTCTACCCTGACATCCCGGCAGATTTCCTTCAACATATTTGCTGTGAGATCCCTTACTTCGTCATGCCTCATGCATATGAAGCCCCCTTTCTTGCACACCATGGCGTGATCGACGTCATAGGAAGAGCCACACACGCATTGGGAGGGCAAACCTTCTACTGGCCTACCGTACCTTAGAGCACTGGCATCCATAAATTCTTGTTTATTGAGACTGAAACCATTTGCCCTTATCGGTAACGTAGTTAACCAGTTCGAGGCGCCCACCTCCTACTTTTTTTTAAAATTCTCTGGTACTTGCAGCATCAGTTGCTGCAACTTATCACTTTGGCCGTGCTGTCGTTCTGTCGTAATGGACCTTCGAATCTTGTTTACTTTACTGGTATCCACCTCACCTGTTGGGTTCTGAGCTATTATGTGGTCAGTGAGGGCTGCCATGAGCTTAACTGAGTTTTGATGTTCGGTGGCAGCAATCTCCTCTGGATTGGTCAATCCCATTCCTCCCAGTTTCGGTGATAGAGCAAGGAGTGATCTTTCTGCTAGGGTTAAGTGAAGGTGTTTCACTAATTTGGGAATGAAATTGATGCTGATAGCTTCTTCCAGAGGGTGGGGGAGGGGTCCGACATCAGGGATAGTGCGTATCAGGTAGTTCCAGCGATGCATGACTCCATGGGTGAATGCCGCATGTGGCTCTGTGTTAGTAATATCAGACAGAGTTTGGATTTCCCTAACCCACTCATTCACCTTTCCCGTTACGTACTCGGTCTTTAAGTCAGTCGTGCTGCTTACTGCCCCAAGGTGTATTTGGCCATCCTTTGTTATTTTGACCTCACTTCCACCGAACACCTCCATTGCCTGTTCATAATGTTCTGGCTTCACAATGAGGAAGGACTTGCTGGCGTTTGGGTGGTACCCTATTTGTGGACCTCGTGATGGTACCAGGTCCCCCCACTTTTTGATGTCCTCCACTTTTCCTACTCCTGTAAGGTCGTCAGCGTACGCCACTTGCTTGACCTCGGTTGTTTCAAATTTTATTGTGTGTTGGAGCACGGATAGGTCTATTGCGTACATTGCCATTGCAACAGGGTCCCCCTGCGTTGTTCCCTCAGTTGACTGTATGATGGTATCACCTCTTAGAGCCTTAGTGTTTACTGTATAGAGGTCTGATGGAGTTTTCAACATACATTGTAAAGATTGGACACTTGATCTTGATGTTGTGCAGTGCGACCTTGCGGTTAAGTATGTTGAATGCGTAGGAAGCGTCAACCAGAACAGCCTCACAATCACGCTGCTCAAATATCGTTCTCATGGCGTGAATTGCAGCTTCCCCTCCAGCCTGGTGGCCAGCACAAACTACTACTACAACAACTACTATTACTACTACTACTACTAATAATAATGATAATATTAATAATACATATAACCATAATATAAAGAATAACAGTAATATTATCATTTACTTTATTATCATCATTATTATTATCATTATTTTTATCATCATTATTATTATTAAGGTCGTTTTATAGTTTATCTTCTCCACATGTTCACTACGTGACCTGGTAACTGATCAAATGTAACCCACACAGTCCATATGACCTTCACTACGGTGTTAACATACATACATACATACATACATACATACATACATACATACATCGGTGTGATTGATATGCCTTCACAATGCTCCACCACCTTGTGTATTCATCCTTACACTAACAGCTGATCTCAAACCCGTGACGAGATGATGTTTGGTGATTTATCCAACAGGGACACCAATCACCATGTCTGTCTTGGTGCTTTAATAGTTCCTGGTGAGAAATATAACACTGTACGGTTTCTTAGTTCGAATTTCTTCATTAATGTCGGGTCATGAGAAAGATTTTTAGGACATTCATTCATGATTAAAATGTTTAGTATTGGTTTTGTTTTATTATCGGTCTGGAATTATTGATTTTAAAAACAAATTTGATGTCTAGTGTTGTTATCAAGTCATAATGTTTCTCAAGGTGATATTAACCCGCTATTGACGTGAGGACAGGAACCTGAAGTAGTAATTAAAGAGACAACACATTTCCCTGTAGCTATTCGTCGCCTTTCTTACACCTGTCTTGACAGCCTTCAGTAAGTTTTCCGGGTCTCACATTCAAGGTGATCGCTTTCTAATTCTTCGTCAAATCTTCCTTATCAAAGCAGTAAGCACTAATCGTGTTTCTAAGCTGTGATCTATCTATAGTACTGCTGGAACCTCGTAAGAATGTCAGTAAAGTTTGGCTCTTTAATACTAAGTGCTGCCATCTGGTGAGTGATCCATGAGGCTAATGAGTTACTAACCCCACATTTAATTTATAGTTAAGTTAAACATCTCTGCCCACATGCGAGAAAAAACTCCGGATATCGTAAGGATTTTTCATCACAAACATGAAGAATTTTCCCGGTATTAGGTAAAAGTCTCAACTTTCTGGGAAAAAATTATTCTTGCCTCATAGGGAAGTTCCCCGTACCAGATGATTATTTTCCTACTTATGATTCTCGCTTGCAACAGGTGACCAGCGTGTGAGGTCTGAGTCAGCAGGTTTGCCCTTCTGGCGGTAAATTCCCTGCATCAACTGAATATTTTTATCTCTTGACGATAAATATTTATAAACCTCGCGTTAATTGGAATTTTCCCTCACCTGATGACTCGTCCCTCTACCACGAATGTAAAAAATCCCCAGAGGTCTCGATCAGAGTGAAATTTCCCTACACAGACTCACTAATTTCCCCTCATATTAGGTTACTACTCATGACGTCAAGATAAATCACCTCACGACATTACGGGGACATTTCATTTACCTGGTGACTAATTACTTCCGCTCTGGTTCTCTCCCGCGACAGGTGTGCTGGGCCGCTGTCCTTGTGGCACCTGAGTCAGCAGTGAGCAGCCCGTTACCACAAAACACCTTCGATTTACCTCCCATCACAGCCTCGGAGTGAGTAATCAATCTTTCTATCTTTACCAAATCACTTCCTTCCTTCTCTCCCCATTGAGTCATTGTGAATTTCCTTCTTTGGGGGGGGATTATTCTTGTGAGTTCTACATTTATTCATCATTTATTATCATTTAGTTTCACCATTTATCAGTTTGTTTGTGGTCAGTGTATATTTCTGTAATCATTCATCATCGTGTCTTGTAACTGTTCATGTTGCTGTACTTATTACTACAGGATTTAGGATTATTTTGTATTCTACTCGTTAGTTCCTGTATGATGATTGTTAGAATAATATTCCCCAGGTCTTTAATGCAGAAGATAGTCGAGGTTTTGTTTAGTTTCTCTTATCCGCTCGTTGACTGGCCACACAACCCGCTCGTAGACTGGCCACAACCCGCTCGTAGACTGGCCACAACCCGCTCGTCGACTGGCCACAACCCGCTCGTCGATTGGCCACAACCCGCTCGTCGATTGGCCACAACCCGCTCGTCGATTGGCCACAACCCGCTCGTCGATTGGCCACACAACCTCACGATAATATTAATCTCCGTCTGTCTTTTTATTCACTTTATGACTTATTTAATCCAGCGGGAAAAAATCACAAAAAACAAAAACAAAAGCATGAAGCGTTTACTCTGATAGCCAAAGGTGGATTATATTTTAAGATAAATTTCTCACCTGATTGAAAAGAGAGACAAGAGGTGATTATCTCTTCCGTGGGAGATAATGAAGGGTGGTGGATTAATGTAAATAAAATAATGAAAAAAAGAAAGTTAGAAAGATTAAGATAAGGTGATAATGTTTCTCTCTCTCTCTCTCTCTCACTGTGGGGAAAATTTAGTACGTATCAGACACTAAACAAATTTTTATGAATAAGTAAAGAAACTGATAAAAAAACAACCGTTGTAAATAAATAAATAAATAAAATATAATGAATAGTAAAAAGATAAATGAAAAAAAAATTAATAAGATAAACAAAATGGAAATCAATAAATTATGAAGCATAAATATATGAAGGGAAATAAAAGAAAATGAATAAATGATAAAATAGATAGAAATAAAAATGAACAGAAAAAAAATAAGAAAAATATAAAGATTTTATAAACCACAGTGAGAAAAATGACCTGACCCTTCTCTCCCTTCCCTTTCCCCCTTCTCCTTTCCCCTAAATCACTATGGTAATATAACTCCCTCTGAAGAACACAAACCAAAACACATCCCCCCAGACAACACACATAAACACTTGGCCAGTTAATCAGTTAATGAAGACAATGAAATTTAAATAAAAAACAAATATAAAATTTCCTTAAAAACCAATATTTCCATTTTTTTTCCCTCAAGGTAAACCACAGAGGGAAATTCTCACTACATGACTTGTCTCACTACCTGGAAGGGGATATTTTAAGATATTAGAAGAAATTAGGTCACAGTCATAGAGGCAATATATTGTGAGCTGTGAGTTGCTGTGACTGACAAGAAAACCCCCCTTGCCTTCCCTCCCATCCTCTCCCCTCACCTCACCCCACTCCCTGAGATCAACCCATTTGATGAATTGGAACTTGTCTCGTAATCTTCCCAGCTGTTAGTCCTATTTACTATGATTATGTATATTCAGAGCCACATATTTTGTATTTACTGAACACGTGAACAAATATAAACAGTCTCCTTGACCTATAAATTCAGTAGTGGACGAGGTAACGTAAACTCGATTAAGGATTTACGTTTTGCCAAGTTTGTGAGAATTTCCTCGACCCAAGGTCTTAAGAGACTGGATCTGGATTCGTGAGTCTGAATCCGGATTGTATTCAGGAGATTAAGTCATCGTAGTCAAGGAATTAAGTCACCATAGTCAAGGGATTAAGCCATCATAGTCAAGGGATTAAGTCATCATAGTCAAGGGATTAAGTCATCATAGTCAAGGGATTCACGCCCATATTATTAAAGAACATCTTCCCTTGAAGAGGGTCCTCGTGTCGAAAACCGTATTTTTAAATGCGAAGGACCTTTTACTGCAGCGCACGAAGGAGTGTGGTGGCGGGAAAACGAATTAATATTACTGAAATTTGAAGAGGTAGCGAGTAGCTGCTTTATGTCACCCTCTTCATAACTGTTTTGTTAGTGTTATTGAATATGGATAGTAAATACGATTAACGTACAAAGAAACACGTATTGGTAATTTTATAAATCTATTTTTTTTACATTATTGGTTTTACGACCCATATCATGACATTTGCAAAAGCTGTGCTTCCTGTCATTGCTAAAGGCAAGCTGCTGGAGTCATCTCATCTTACTAACGCTGGTACTAATCAGGTAAGCACATTTGACAATTTAAGGTAATTTATTAAACTTTTTAGCAGTTTTATACGTGAGTTTCTGTCAGGGAACCAAATAAGAATCTCTACCTCCCAAATAACTGAATTAAGTAAGTTGTCTCAGAGATTGTAGTCATCTGCACCCTCTTTAATGTAACCTACTTCGGAACAAAATAAAAAGAAAAAGAAATTACTTAATCTTAATGCCTTCCCAAATCTCCTTTAATTGTTCTTCTGATCGCCGAGGCCCATATCCCTCTGCATTAAACATGTATCTATTCTCAACCATGTTTGCTTCTTTAAAGCAACAAGCTTTCCACAAGTATTTTTATTTTGTAAAATCTTTTCCTCCCCAATCAAATGGACTAATAAATCACGTTCTCTCTGCGATATAGGACTTGCCCTTGATGATTGGGAGGAAAAAATGTCCATGAAAAGAGCGCAATACTTTTAATTTTAGCGCCAACGAAGGTAAACAAACACACGAGTAAGGCGACCCATAAGGCATCAGCGAAGTGGACAGTACTACCAGACCTACCCTACTCGGTCCCACACGAAGGGGAAGAGGTTCGAGCAATTAAAAATACCGCTTGAAAAAACAATCCCTTCAAGAAGACTCCCCGTCAGAGAGGAAAGATGTTGTTTAATAATACGGGCGTAAGTCATCATAGTCAAGGGAATAAGAGAACATAACTAGTCAAGGTACAGACATACACTCAGCTCAGTAGACCCAAGATTTACCCTGGAAGTAAATCTGATCACTGCTTCCTGTAGAGAAACCAAGACGGCACTCAATGCTTACTCTACAATGGCTTTAGAACAGCAGTGCAATCGATGACTGACACGAGTTTGTTTATCCGTCGGAAGCAAGTGACCACCAGTACAAGGTTTCACTAACACACACACACACACACACCACACACACACACACACACTCACACAGTTCAGCCGTTCATAGGATTCTTGTTCGTCTACCTGGAATATTTTAGTGAGGTTAATAGCCTGAGTGACAATAACAGGTGCCACTGACCCAAGAAAGGTAACTGTTTGGCTATTGTGAGGAGAGTATTGTTCCTGTTTCAATTGTGTTAGTGTTCTCCTTTCTCTCTCTCTCTCTCTCTCTCTCTCTCTCTCTCATTATATCATAGAATCAAAACCAAACGAACCTTAAAACTTAAAACAAAGAAACAACATAATGCCATTTTTTTGGGGAGGGTGAGGGGGGGGGTAAGGGGGAGAGTGGGAGGGAGGGTGGGGGGGTGGGGTAAAGGAAAATATCAACACTTTTTTACTCTCTATGTAAATTTAACACACATTATATTCTTCCTTTTCTTCTATTACAAAAGAATAAATTAAACAACACCAGTTTCCTTCAGTGTAAGAATATATCAGTGTCTTTCCTCTCCCCTGATAGCTTAAGGGATTGTTAACGACTGTAAAAAAATATATTACATGAATTAAATACAGGTTAGGTTAGGTTAGGTTAGGTTAGGTTAGGTTAGGTTAGGTTATGTTAGGTTAGGTGAGAAATTGGTGTTATTTATGCTCAACACTTAAGAGCTCTCAATAACACAAAGGTAAATATATAATGGTGAATTTTCTTCGTTAAAATTTCGGATATTATATAATGAAAGAGGAATACAGTTTATGAGTAAGGCATGAGAGAGGAAGACATTAAGGGCGTGAGTAAGGCATTAAGGGCGTGAGTAAGACATTAAGTGGGAGAGTAAGGCATTAAGGGGGAGAGTAAGGCATTAAGGGCGTGAGTAAGGCATTAAGGGCGTGAGTAAGGCATTAAGGGCGTGAGTAAGACATTAAGGGGGAGAGTAAGGCATTAAGGGCGTGAGTAAGGCATTAAGGGCGTGAATAAGACATTGGCGGGCGTGAGTAAGATGAAGGGCGTGAGTAAGACATTAAGGACGTGAGTAAGACATTGAAGGAGGCAGTAAGATATTGGCGCGGAGTAAGACATTATGGGTGTGAGAAGACATTAAGGGCGTGGAGTAAGACATTGAAGGAGGAAAGATATTAAGGGCGTGAATAAGACATTAAGGGCGTGAGTAAGACATTAAGGCGAGGCATTATGGTGAGTAAGACATTAAGGGCGGAGTAAGACATTGAAGGAGTGAGTAAGATATTAAGGGCGTGAATAAGACATTATGGGCGGAGTAAGACATTAAGGGCGTGAGTAAGACATTGAAGGAGTGAGTAAGATATTAAGGGCGTGAGTAAGACATTACATGTGAGTAAGGCATTAAGGGCGAGTAAGATTAAGGGCGTGAGTAAGGCATTGGCGGGCGGAGTAAGACATTACGGCGAGTAAGACATTGAAGGAGTGAGTAGATATTAAGGGCGTGAATAAGACATTAAGGGCGTGAGTAAGACATTAAGGGTGTGAGTAAGGCATTAAGGGTGTGAGTAAGACATGAAGGGTGTGAGTAAGACATTAAGGGTGTGAGTAAGACATTAAGGGTGTGAGTAAGACATTAAGGGCGTGAGTAAGACATTAAGGGTGTGAGTAAGGCATTAAGGGTGTGAGTAAGACATTAAGGGTGTGAGTAAGACATTAAGGGCGTGAATAAGACATGAAGGGTGTGAATAAGACATGAAGGGTGTGAGTAAGACATTAAGGGCGTGAGTAAGACATTAAGGGCGTGAGTAAGACATTAAGGGTGTGAGTAAGGCATT